GCTCCAGAGTTCAGCAGAAGGAAACGAGCGGCTTGGAGAGCTTTCAAGAGCATCGAGTATGTAGTGAAGAGAACAAAGAAGATCCGACTCCGTTCCCACCTTTTCGACTCAATGGTACTCCCGGTACTCCCTACGTCAACGTATGCGTGAGAAACCTGGCAGCCGCGTGAACACGATGAAAAATCACTGTGTTATTGAAGTTCAGTCGAAAGGACGATGCCAGAAGTATCCTATGGTGACGCAAGTAAGGGATGGGATCCGAAGGGCCGACCTGCGTTAAAGATAAAAAATCAAAGATGCCGCTCTGCACGCCATACAGTCGAAGATAAGGTGGACCGGACACATAACGCGCATGAACGACAATCGATGGACAAGAACCGTTTGTCACTGGATTTCTCGGGATGTCAAACGCACTGCAGGAATTCACCGACCCGATGGTCAGAGTTCTTCACGAAAGGTCTAGAAGAAAGATATGATGCTCAACGAGTCCTTAGAGTGAGCAGAACCCACTGCGCTATTCTTTCACGCTACAGGGAAAAACGGAAGATTTACTGGCGCCCGCTCAATTAAATCGATGATGAACGGGACTACAGGTGATACAGGTGATCCTTTCTTGGAGAACGCTATATAATCAGTAAATTCAAAGTTATTTCTTGCAGCAAAAAAGCTGTTGTATGCGAAAATGAATCTCACATCACCCATACTTTTTTACTAACACGACTTTATCAAATCCACTCTGAATAGCAAGAAAGTGCACGATTTCCGAGTTAAAATAAAAAGTAAATAAAAATTTAAATAAAAGGATAAAGCTCCCAGCGTTGAGCAATCGCTGAGGGATGCACCACGCATTCGACTTCACTAAGCATCGTTTGGAGGTGATTGAATGCATACCAATAAGGGATTTCAGTTTCTACCGAGTGAGAATCGTATAACGCTTTTAGAAAGAACGGCAGTTCAAATGAAAAACTAATCAGTGGTGTATGTACATAGAAAACGCGCTTCCAGTTGATGCTTTTGACCTAAATTTATAGACAGAAAAAAAAACAAAAACAGATAGTGCCAAACCTTACTAACAAGAATGACACCGTGAGACTAAAGTTTGCTTCAATACCATTGACATTTCGAGGAACACAAGTTTGTTACAATTTTTGTACTTATAATTGCATAAAAACTACCTTCGCGTTAATATCCACATTTGGAACGATGCTTCTCATCTCTAGTACAAACTGATTGCGACTACGTTCAATGAGATCTTTGTACTGATTCAGAATCGCCGATTCCTGACGAGCCTTCAAACCACAACACAGTGGAATCTCCTCAGAGACCATTATGCATTGAAATTTATAGACGATCTAGAAAAGCTCTGAACCTTCGAAACTAGCCCATCGAGTTCGTCAAGTTCATGGGATAGCTTATTCGCTGTTTCCGTTGCATTGAGAAGCAAAGGACTCTTGGAAGTCAATGGGTCACTTTTGCCTTTAATGATAACCTGGAATTGAACGCAGTGATATAAAAATAGTGGCTATTACAAATGTGGTCGCCCACCTTCCTAAGTTTGTCTATATAAAGTCTTCCTTCTACTTCAGCAAGTCTGTCCTTATGGGCAAGCGACTCCGCATGTTGTAGAGCAGACGTTACCTAAAAAAATACTTTCTTAATTTGGAGGTTCGAAAATCTTTCATGAACTCAATGAAACACGAAGCAGACTGGAATTTACGGAAATATCCTATTGGAACTCAGCACAGGGATATAACATCTATTAGGCAGAAATTTTCGTTCATGTCTTAATCCACATTTAGCTTTGAATAAAGTACATCCATAGCTACTCATTAAAAAGAATTTGCATCATTTGTCAACTGAAAGACTAATTTTTCAACTGATCCAGCACAGTCATTGTCTTTTGATTGTATCCCACTAGTTATTCGCCTACCTTGTCATAATTTGTGAGCGTTATAATTACAATCTTCATTCGATGAAATAGTGATTCCATTCACAAAAGGAGCCCATGGTTTAAATCCCATGTAGAAACAACAGAAAAGCGTAAATCCCTTTTCTCAATAATCATATTCAAACGAAGTTTATTTAAAAGTGAACACTACTTGTAGTGAAATAAAACCGTAATGATGCCAAGATATCTGCAAAACTCCGAACCGCAGGTGTCTGCAGTAAGTAAGGAACGCGCTATTACCTTTTCCGGGGGCTAGCGGGTGCACCACCCCACCATGCGGGTCCTTCGTTTTGCCTGTCTCTCAGCTAGTTCTATCAAACTCTGCCATCATCAATCACCCATCAACGGGATTGATCTGGGGAGCCCAAATCGGCGATGAACCCAGTTAGGCTGAGCCTGCAGTTATAATCACAATCTTAACCTTTTTATTTACTGCCTACTCTTTTTAACGGCAGGGTATGTTGCGAAATATAATTTCCATGATGCTGGGATATTTGCAAAACTCCGCATCACAGGTGTCTGAGGTGGGGAACGAACGCTCTATTACTCTTTCAGGGGGCTAACGCGTCCACTACCGGAGTTTTGAAAATATCTCAGCATTATTACGCTTATCTTTCACATTGTACCCTTCTGTGAAAAACTGTAATAGTCAGCAAATAAAAAGTAAACTACTTATAGCAAAAACAGGCAACCTGGAATATACTGTCGATTGTAAGTACAGTTTACGCAATGCAATTCTCAGCTTACCCATGCCAGATCATTCTAATTTATGTTCTCCAATAATCGCTCTTACCTTTTCCCAGTCGGCCGTCTGTGGCTCATCTACGGTACTTTTGACCAGCTGAGAGTGATCATTTATGGCTGCTATAGTTTTCACTTTAGCTTCGGTTGCAGTGCGCACTCGTCCTTCAGCCGATTGAATAGCAGTGAGTAAAGCTGACTCTAATTCTTAAAACAAATGTTTAGAAAATCAAAAGCATATAAAAATTTAAATGTAAACGACACTAACCCTTTCCTTTTTGCAAAACAACTTCAGTGTTCTGTTTAACAGAACCTGTTTCTTGAGGTGCTTTAACGTTGACGGGGTCCACGTGAATTGCAGCCTTTTTTTCTGGTTCAGGTAAAGGAATCCTTGCTAGAGGTGGAAGAACCTAAATTAACATATGAAAACAAAAGTGAGTTAAGCAGTATATAGAAAGCACTCAATTCTTCCATACTTCCTCAGACTTCCTTTTCGGGATTGCGCTCATTACCTGCTCCTTTATATCCGTCAGCTGTTGCTTAGTCTTCCTTAACAATGAAAAAAGATCACCGCTAAACTACTGCTAACTTTCAATAAACAACGCGGGTAACAGGTAAACCTACGAAAGACTTGACGAGCCCAAAATGGCATCAAAAGCTGGTTTCGTAAAAGGAGCAGTGTTCTCTATCTATAAACAATGATGAATGACACCTCTAAAAAAAGTTCAGATTATTTTCGAAACCCACTTGAAGCCTGAAGCCCGGATCCACGAAGGCATAACCTATTACACCACCCGTAACTGCGACTAACGATCCTAGTGATAGCAGTACTTTACGCCCAGACCTCAAATAGAATGAAATACTAATAGTGGAATAAGGAGCAGAAAAACACAAATTTATTACTTCGGAGGTGTTTTGCAATGTTTACCAGAAGATTCTGGAGCACCTTGCGTACTTTGCGTTCGGAAGATTTTGCAGCCATTCAAGGAAAACCTTTTCTAAATTGATATGGTTGACCTACGAAGCCAAGAAAACTCGGAGACAAATACGTAAATGATCGAAAAGTAAATGCTGACTCAAAAGCTTACCATTGTAACACGAAGCATTACTGATCCAAACCTGTTCTCATCAACAGAAGGCACAGAAGCACAAACTTGAAATTACAACAACCTGCATATAGTAGGAGTAAAAACTATAATCAATAAGATATTCCAGTTCCGTGGTCTCTTGCTGTTCATAAACACAGTTTGATTAGCTCAAAAGATTGTACATAGTGAAAAGCTCAACCTTACACTAGAACACTACCGGTCTAAGCGTAAATTTGCTCTGAAGAGTAGAATTTGTGCGACGGTGAAATCAAGATGGAACAAAGTCCAGAGTTTTATCATACTGAAGGAATGAAACATGAACTTAAACAAGCAAACAAAATTTGGTGAGAAGGAACAGAATGACTATTTGATAAAAACACTAGTACGCACAAGATGGAAAGATGATTACTCCACTGAGCAGAAAACACCCACCCTAAAATCCCATATAGAAGGTATTAAGTGTTATACCGAGTGAATGACATACTTATGTTAAACTTGTCACGACGGTTTCGGTTGCGAGGTTAAATATGCTTCTGCTGAATATTTAGGTAGGTGAAACTCAAGATGAAACCCATTCGCGTCCGTGTGGACATTAACTATATTCCCCTTTCGGAAATCAATCAGCGCTACAACTTTTTTGCTATACTATCTATGCTCACCCAACAGCTAACAAAAGCCAGATCAAAACACGAGGTGTGGGACAAGAGAAATCAATAACTGTACTTAATGATTTACAGGAACCCTTCCCCGGAAATCTTCACTGACGTGTAATTTGATTAGCAATTAAGTGTTACTTCATTTTAATCACTATGATGAATCACCAAAATAGAAATAGCTTAAGTTGAAAAACAGTTTGAATGCTCACATCATCTTTGCACGTTACACCATGGCAGCATACAGTAAATCTCAAGCAGCTGGGTTGGTCGTTGGTCAAGAGTTAAAATAGCAGCAAAGCACTGCGCTACACATCAGAAACAAGGTCATCATGGAAGTAACCACCGAGTTAACGTCCTACTTCACTTTAGGCAAAAGTATTCTCATCACAGAACGTCAAACGAACAGAACAAATCCGTACACAAAACTACTCACAGATCACTGCTTGCAACAATAAAACGACCACGCATGCCTACTACCCAGGATGTACTGGTGTTCAGCATTGTCAAGCTATCCGAAAACAACTAAAAATGAAGAAGCGCAACTCTAGCGCAACCAAAAAGAAAAGTGCTAAATTTGTAAGGCTTCACAGGCTCCAAAATACCAAACATCACTAGAACATCACCGCACCGCTCCACACAAACATGCCTTCTCACACAGTATGCTACGCCGTAACTAATTCATGTCAGTTAGAGATTCCGTGAAATCCCCTGATACCGTATCAAACAGCCTGTAAGATAATCAGCCACCAAACACAATGACCAATGTTCATTCTACGAATAACAAAAACAAAACATATAATTTACCACAGGATGCACCTTGTTCAGATACCTTTCCCGGATGACGACACAACGCATAAAAGAAAATAATTTCGAGATCACCAAGTCCACATTACAAAAAAAACCAAAACAGATGTGGTACATAACACATCTACAAGGCTCCTAACCGAAATATCCAAGAGAGACAAATCATATCGAAAATTCCTTTTCAGGCATACGACTAGAAAATCTTTGGACCGAATTTACATAAACGAATTTACATCTACGAAAAAAAAATACGACTAGGCTAGGAGAAAAAAAATACACTATACATTGCACAGCGACTCTATCATCATTATACAATACAACTACGAAAATACGCGACAAATGCAAAAATCTTATCATTTTTTCTGCATATTTTTGAAACTGTGAAGTACATGCGCAGAGGAACATAGCACTTCACAGTTATTTGTCCAAAACCATTCGCTATGTATGGAGAAGCTGGAGGGTCAAATGAGATTTCTAAACCACAATTCTAGAAATAGTGAAGATAACAATAAATTGTGAACAAACAAAATCTGATCCACACAACTAAGTACAGTGTTACACACCAGTTAAGTACGAGTGCTTCCGGTATGATGAAGCAGCTTCGTGGCTTAGCCTACATTAGTTTACTTTATGAATTTACAGGATTTGAATGCGCTACACCAATATCCGCAAATGAAGAGGAAGAATCCAGGTACCTGGAAAAACGTGCATTATGACACCTTGAGCTCTATTTTCACTAATCAATGATTACGGTTCTAGATGTAAAAACACTAATGCAAGTCAATTCTAACGCATAGAAGAAAAGGAAACAAAGAAAAATATTCCTAATTCAGTTTATACACAAGAGGAGGACAGCAGTGACAAATATGCTACAGAAAATGACATAAATAGAAACCATAGTCATAAAACACGAATTCACGAATATTCCAAGCGAATTCATGGAAGAGATTCACTAGCCTCTCAAAATCAACGATGGGCAGCACGTCATCAGGACGTCGAGCCGAATCACGCCATGACCTGAGTGACCTTGCACACAGAAGTCGTTGGTTATCGATGCGACGAAGTCTATTCATCTTCGTACTAGAAACCTACTATTAGTATTAATATAACAGAAAAAAGAGATGATTTAATTAGGTGTAAGCATAACGACAACTATTTAAGCAGTGATTTTGCACCGTAAAGAAACAATCGTAGAAAAACTCCTTTGCATCTTATTAACAAGGTTTATAGGAACGATTATTTTCAATAACAGGTGACAACGCAAATTTTTGCCTTCCGAACTGGTATCTTTTCATACTGGGCTGACACATTTCCACGGTTATTGTGCTACATTTCACTCTATGTTAACAACTTCCGTAGCTTTTCATGACAGTTTCCATGCTTCTTTTCTGAAAATTTCCACATAACTTTTACTCTTTTCTATGCGATTTTCAATATTCTTGGAACATTTCCACCTCCTCTGAATAGTGAAAATTAAACTCAATCATCACCTGTCATGGTGCTGTCAACCTCTCGTTATAGCTTCAACAAAGTACATAAAACGTATTTTAGTGTTTTATGACGATTTTCTTACACCAGCTCTTGAATATATCGCAACAATGATTAATCATTGCGACTTCTAAAAAGAAAAACATGAATTTCAACCGGTCAAGAACTAAATTTTGCACACTTTGATGCTCTCAGTGAAAAACGAATTGAACTTCACTTCCATTCTCATCGACATAAAACGGAACTGAAGACACGGATGACAATGATGGGTCTGGGTCTCCTGTGCAACCCGTCCAATTTTGAAGAACGTGACCCAGATGAGAATTAAGAAGACGATAATGAGGGCAACGGCAATTGGTTAAAAAATACAGGCCTTCTAAAAACTGGATCATCAACGACAGTCGATTTGAAATGGTCCAACTGCTTCTACCTGGATGCACACAGCCAATATATTTTTTGTGAATCATCCCCTGCCGATATTTGGAACCTGGTTAGTGATGTAAGGAACGGATAAGGGAAGAACAAGTCCTCAGCACTAATAGGTTCAAGACACAAGAACATTCGTCGTACTCTCCGTCCAAACAGCAACTGTTAAAACGTACTGGTCATGGAATTTTCTGTTTTACTCTTGAAATAGACCGAGCCGAATTGCAAACTACGAAGGACAAAACAGGTTGAATATGATCAGTCCATTTATTCGATTTTCCAACGGAAACTGCCAGAGAGTAAATAGACATGACAAGAAAGGTGTGTATTGGCATGTATATATGCGTATATGTATATACAGTGTATATATATGCGTATATACATACTGGTGTGCATATACATACGTGGACAAGTGTACATACATAAGACTCCGTAGGAGTGGAAGGATTGGTGAGTCTACGTTGAGGGATCGATTCCATGGGTTTTGCAAGCAGCTCCTAACCATTACGCCACACCTGCTCCTAGCTATGTGCAGATGTACAAGTATATGCATTTATACATGTACATATATATATATATATATATATATGCATAAATATCCACTGAGGTCTCTCATATGAGGGATCTCGAGCTTGTTATTCGCGACGCTACGTAGCGCATCCCTAGGTGGTGGAAAGAGGGTTAATTGCGGATCAAAAGCGACCTCTGCTTCCTTGATACGAAAGTGGATACATGAGATGGACTCCTGGTTTCTGCTGCGCCGACTTGGCACATACTTCCTGTACTCACAGGGCGTATTCATGCACACGTGTGCGCTTGCGTTCTAGTTTATGTCGATTATACTCTACCGAGTCAATTCGGCCAAAAGTCTGCAAACAAGCCACAGGGAACTATATGGGAGGCGGTTAGGAGTCACCCCTACCAAATAAGCTCTATGTCCATTAAGGAAGAGACTGGTAAGCTACCCGTGAGTATACTCACGCCCCCGTTCAGAGTTCGGCAAGCTAAACAGAGTAAAAGGAACGGGCCTCATTCCCCTAACACCGAAAGAGCCTCAAGTTCGGCAACGTTGGGTAGGACGAGTACGGAGAAGCTGCTAAAATCTCAGGGCCAATGGAAGCTGCCTGGATCGCAAAGAACAAAGGTGACGATCTGTACCTACACCATTCAACATCTTCACGTTAGCGCTACGAAAACTGAGAGTTCGAAAATCACCAAGAGACGGCTGTCTCTAGAAATTCTCGAGATGATACGCCAGCATGGAATCACACGAGCTGCGATCAACGGCGAACTAACGTCCGAACTTGTAAAACAATGCAGACAAGCGATAAAAGAAGACCTTAAAGAGAGAAGAGCAGAAGTAATGGTCGAAGTTGCAGAGGCTGGGAAAAACATTCACAAAGCCCACCGATGCTTCTCGATTTACAAGACCGAGATGATTTCACTTCGATATCCCAAACGGAACAGTTACAGAATCCAGAAAGGCAATGGAGAAAATCATTCACGAATACTATTCAGATCTCTTTGATAGCCACGTCGACCTTCCGTCATATGAAATAAAGATGGATGTCTTGTGGCACCTGTTCTCCATTCCGAAATCCGATATGCCATTTTGCCGGTGAAAATCGAACAGCACCAGGTCCGGACTGGATAAGATCTCAACACCTGAAGAACAAACTTGCTCGGCTCCTCACACGTTACCTGTCTAAATGCAAGATCCCTACTCAGTGGAAGACTAGTAAGACCGTCTTATTATTCGAGAAGGGTGACCTACACGATATCGGTAACTATCGCCCAATCTACTTGCTGTCTGTCGTCTACAAACTTTTCACTCAAGTCCTAAACAGGATTGACAAAACATTTGGACGAAGGACAGTCATGTGAGCAAGCAGGGTTCGAAAAGGATTTTGTACGATGGGCCACATCCACATGATAACAAGACTCACTGAAGTATCGCGAGAGTACAAGAGACCGCTCTGTTTCACTTTCATCGATTTAGAGAAGGCCTTTGACTCAAATGAGAAAGAAGCGATCATAGAAGCCCTTGCTAGTAAGTCGCTACTCAGTACATGAACATTATTCGCGAGTTGTACAAAAATTTGACAACCAAGATATCACGATTCTACAACGATATTAACACCGATGTCAAAAGAGAGGTTAGGCAAGGCGATACAATCTCGTCAAAATTATTTACCGCCACCTATGACAACGTCATGCGAACATTGGTATGGGATAATATGAGAGTGAAAATCGATAGTCGGCAGTTACACCATCTTCGCTTAGCTGATTACATCGCCCTTATAACACCAAACATTAGCCAAGTGGAACGAATGTTGGCCGACTTTGATAAAGCCTGTAGAAAGATTGGTCCTCGTCTAAATCTCACCAAAACGATGTTTATGAGGAACGGATTGGTTTTCGTACGCCCCATTCAAGCTCAACGGAACGAATATCTCCAAATGCTCCAGTTACGTCTGTCTAGGTCGGGAAATCAACATGATGAACGACTTGGCTCCAGAGTTCAGCAGAAGGAAACGAGCGGCTTGGAGAGCTTTCAAGAGCATCGAGTATGTAGTGAAGAGAACAAAGAACATCC